TTATCCAAATGACACACTACTCCCTCAGTTGTGAATGTCTGTCTTGACACACACACACACACAGATTTTATTTATATCGTTATCTTATAATGTCAGCGCAGAGACTATATTTTCCAGAAATACTAAATCTAAAAAGATCATATAATCACAAATCCCTAAAGTTAAGGAATACAATTAATTTACATAAAAAAACTAGCACAGCAGATTGCCATATATGAAAACAGATTTTACTGTAATTCATAATTTCTTAACATGTAATTGAATCAACAATGTATTTCTGTGGCAAGTTTATACATGCTCACATTGCATGAATATTAATTACTGGAAAAAATAGGCTTTTAGACATTAATTTATCAAATAAATGTAAAAAATGAAAAAATAAGATTTCTTATCAATTTGTTTATTTTACTGTTAACAATTTGTCCAGGCAACAAAGGCTATTTCATCATATGACTCCATTGATTTTGGATTGGACATGTCTACACATACACATTTTGACATAGCAAATCAAGCAAGAAAACTAGATTAAAAACCTAGAACAAGTAAGAGTGTGTGATTTATTTTTTGCCCCCTCTCAACACGTGTGAGGCCAAGCTCCCAGCAAGCTGTGACAACTGTAGTCAGGCGCTCATGGATTTGTGCTCGAGTGTATTTGTGATAATTTATTCCTTATCCAAAAATATTTGGTTCACTATACTGATCATTTAGTCCAGGACAGGATGCTTCAGCTCATCTGCATTACACCTCAAATGTACCTGAAACATGCTGTGATCCCCTGGCATTTCTTTAAGTGTTTTTTCCATCTCTTTATTTTTACAACCGGGCGAAGGTTTTCACAATAAAAGCAAAACAAAAACGATAAGATATTGCAAAAATATAACAGAAAATGTGGCTCTCACTTGATCTGAATCCAAATGTAATAAAGATAATTACGTCTTTTTATTTGTCTTTCTTTCTTTTGGAATCAAAGCATTTGATTTATTTTAGAATTGTTGTATAATTGGTGTAAAGGTACATCAGTGTTGTTTTTGCTGTCAACAGGGGGAAGTGACAAGAGCGAGTATTAAAATGGACTTCTTGTAAGATTACATACCACCTTTTCCTTCATGTTTTCTGCTGCTGCTCTGTTTTAGTCTAAGTCTTTTAATGGTATTAGATTAAATTAGAAACAGAGGGATTACACCCTCTTTTTTTGTCACACTAATATACATACAGCACACACAGTGAAATTGGACCTATAGCTGCAGTTAACCCATCCTAGTACTACGAGCAGTGAGAAGCTATTGTACAGCGCCCGGGGAACAGTGGGGAGGGGGTCCGGTGCCTTGCTCAAGGGTACCACGGCAGGGCCCAGGAGAGGATCTGGGACCTCTCCAAGTACCGGTCCACATTCTTTACTGTGATCTGTTCAGGCCAGCCTCCCGTTTCCAAGCCGACTCCCTACAGACTAAGCCACTGTCGCCCTACTGCTGCTAAGACTCTCAGCAGGATGTGATAATGATAGAAGAAACAGATCTGCAGGGTAATTTAAGGGCAGAAGTATGTCTAACAACATGTCCATTTTTTATTTAATGTCTTCAATGCTGAGGGACCCTTTAGCAGGTCTCTGTCTGCATCCCTTTTTTATGGGGACATTTGTCATCTTGGGTTACTTCTCCTCTTTTTTCAGCTGTCTTTGGAAGCTAGATTTATCCAGAAAAAAAAAACCTCAACCTGATCTGCAGGTTGCCAACTTAATTTAACTTAACTTGATTTAGTACTCGTATCATTATTTGTTCTTCAGCTGGGCAAAATACACTTATACTGTATGTTCAACATGAGCCGTAAGGTTGACAAGTGGTGTTAAGTGGAATAAAATAATGTATAAATATTGTTTAGAATTCATTCTGTGATTTTTATTTTGTTTTACACTTTGTAGAAATAAACAGCTCAATAATGCAGGAGAGTGGACACTACATTAATGCTTATTCAGCAGTTTAAGATGTTGGAAGGCCATGATATATATTTTTTATCTAAAATATTTACACTTAAAATTATTTACATTTTTTGGAATTAATATCCAACTATTTTGCATTTATTATATGAAAGAATACATTAATAATAGCAAAAAGGTACCATTTGACTTTAAAATATTGTCACAAAAATACATTATCCATTTGGGAAGTAAAAGTGTTCCAGTTTAACATCATCAATGTTTGTGAATATCTGCTAATATACCATTTTTTTAAAGTCTAAAGATGAATTGTAGGTGACAAAACGAATACATGAATTTACCAAAAATTAGGATGCATTTAATTTTGCAAACATGTATTAATCATTACGTTTTTAAATACATTTCAGAGGGCAGAAATGATTATGTCCCAACATCAGAGCTGCGCGCGCCTGACCTGCAGCTCTACCTTCCATCAGGAGATCAGCCTTCACTCAGTGCGAATTATACACTGGCGCCCCCTAAATGAGCCTGAACACAGTACAGACAGCAGCGGCGCTCCGCGGTGACACAGCCCGGGCTGCAGAGCCGCTCTGGTCGCATGGAGGCTCACGGTGCCCCGGTGCTGGAAGTCCCCAAAAAGTACTTAAGATGCGGGATGAAGACAAAAAGGCAGTCCGTTTGATTAGCCTACATTTAAATACATTGTAAATGGGGGGGGGGGGGGGAGGGGAGATAAATAATCTTCAAAAATATAAATAAAACAAAACATTAAGTAATATTACAAATAGTAATGATAATATAAATGTTACCGTTTTTGTATCAAGCTTACATTTCCAACATTTGATTCCTTAAATGCCCCTTTATTGTAATGTAACCACCAACTATTGTGATTAGAATTACAATAATAATGGAGGTGGGGGTACGGGAGGAGGGAGGGGGGGGGGGGGGGGGGGGTCTCCATCCCTCTGCTCGTCCATAAATCGCATCAAATGACAGTCGGTCAGTGAAGAGTTAAAGGGAGGAGACGGAGAGTGACACGCCTCATTGGGTAGATTATGTGCCGCAAACAAAAAGTGTGTGTCGGTGTGCCAGTCAGCCAGTGCGTCGGGCCCCATCTGCACGCCTCTCGCTCTCTCGCGCTCTCTCTCTCTCTCTGCCTCCCTTTATCTGCCCTGCTCTCTCTACCCCTCCCGCTCACTCCCAGTGTCTGCGAGTCTCTGCAGCAGCACTGTCACTTTCACCACACCGGGGGGGAAATGTACTGACACTATACGGCGCAGACCGGGAGCGCATCACCATCTCCATCACCTCCATCTCCGTCACCGCATCCCCCCTTCGCTTGATTTTGGGGATTTTTGTTCTTCTTCCTCCCGGAAACGGGTTTTGATTCGGAGCACCGCTCGCAATTCGATTGTGGATTATTGTTCCTCCTCATCGACCGAAAGGTAGGTTTGTGCAATGCAAAGAAGCTGTGTGTGCTTTTGGATGAGTTTAGAGAGGGACACGGGGACATCAGCCACACACCTTGAAAGCGGCGCAGAAAAGGAAGGCAGATGTGTCAGCACCGTAATTCAGTCACTGCGCTGATTTAGGACAGTTTTCAGTCTGGCACGGCTTTAGCAGATGGGTTAAACACCCCCCCCCCCACCTCTTCTCCACCCCACCCCGGGGGGAGGCTGCTTTCCTCCACTTTCTGGATGTGGAAATGCTCTTTATGTCTTTTACCTTAACGCATCATTCGTAAATGTTGTCTTCTTCCTTCTGAAGCGACTGTTTCTGTGCATCTGAACATAAAGGGGTTCTGTGTGGTCAGTGTGGAACCTGAAACTAAATCGTTTAGCTGGCAGCGCTTTGGAAAGGCTGTCCTTTACACTTGCGGGACATTTTCTACAGAGAACCCTTCTGTTGCTGAGCCTCTTACGGTATATAATGCTCCTAATGAGCGGTATTGAAAAGCGCTTTTTTAGGAAAAATCCAGGGCAATTTAATCAAATCCAGGCAAATAAAAGTAAATAAAAACCAGAAGAAGAAGCAGAAACTAGCTAGATTTTCTTTCTGCGCATCCAATCAAAAAACAGTGGATTTTTGGGATGGACAGGAGACAGCTCATTATTCCACACTGGCCAGCATTGTTATTATTGTTATCAGGCTATTATTACATTGATTCTCTGTGTGCCAATGTCAGGTTGCATCTTGATTTTGCGCAGAGCAAACTTTTGGTCCAACTGTTTTTATTTTATTTATTATGTATTACTTATTCTTTCTTATTTATTTCCCTAATGAAAGAAGGTTGCTTTATATTGCACGAGATGTGTCACACTGGAAGTTGTTTGAGTGCGGGCAGTGATTTATAACGTGTTATAAACTGATAATAGTAGAATTAAACACTAGGCTACTAGGCTAATACAAAATGATAAATAAAACTGGCACCATAGGCCTCAAAAGCAACAGTAAAGAGTTATTAATTCGTACAATAATATTAAAAAAAGGTTGTGCCGCATTAATTTCCCCTACAGTAGAAATAGAAATATAATTATTTCAACAATTTCCTGCTTAGGACATTGTTTGTTTTTTCGCGATTACAGCAAAGCTTTTTTTGACGGTGTTATTTTGTAAATGTAATAAACATTTTTTAACTGAGGGTAATTTACGCGCGTATCAGGTGCAGGTCATGCGCGCACAGTGTGTGCTGTATCTAACCGCAGAGCGAGGAGAGCCGCAGCCGTCTAAACACACATTCAGAGGTTAGGACGGGAGAAAAGAAATAATTAACTGGTCGTGCTGCTTTAATTACAGTCTCAGAGGGGAACGTGCTGGATTATGGTAATGAGGCGGCATACGCTGCCGCTTGTAGAAAGCAGAGAAAGGTTGGCTGACATGAAATCACTGACTTTGACAGTCCACTTGAAACCCATTGGACATGCTCTCTCCATTGGACATGCACGGACCTCAGCAGCTCCCACTGAGAGGGTTCTTTACAGTAATTATTTTTTAAACAAGAAAAAACTATCCTTTTGGGATTCTGTTGCTTGTTAGGATTTTTTGACAAATAAACATGTCCTGGCAAAGCTACAGCCTTACTATTAGAGGAATAATAAAGAATACATGATAATGAAAACATCACAAATAGGGAATTGTAAATCACTCCTGAGACTTCACGATTCATTTAAGAATAGTATAGGACTTTTGCGTTTTTAATGTCGCCATCATAATAATACAGCTAAGTGAAGCGTGATTGGAGCCGGTAGAGGCCTTCTAATTATATAAAAATAATAAAAATACTAATGCTTATAATTTCATTTTATATTATATGAATGAAGACATATGATGCAAATACTGTGGTTAACAACAGTTTCCCTAAAAGGTTATAGTTTTTAACATTTGTTTCAAGTATATGGTATAACCAAAGACAATGTTATTATTAATTGTAATTATTATTATAAGACTAATTATCGTAACAGTAATAATAATAATAATAATTAAACTGCTCACATGTGATTTGAAATTATCCTTTTTAGGCGAGGCACATTTTTTCTTTTATAATTGACAACATTGGGAAACCACATCATCAGGATGCTGGACGTGATGCCATCATGACCGATTTACGGGGTTTGAATTAATTAGAAAGCCTGGCCAAAAAAAAAAGGCACAGTCCCCCAAACGACGCCCTGACAGCTGGTTTAGCCAATCTGTCCAGGAAGAGATTTATTCCCTATCAGCAGGGACAGCGGAAGGTAAACCCACTAAACTGTTAGTTTACATAGGTTTAAGTTAAAATAAAAATCGAAAAAAAAAGCCTAAATATTTTATTGTCATGAAACATTTTTACCGACTGCTCGTAGTATTTATTTCCTACCTGATGTCTGACCTCTGCTGCCTCTTGTCTCCGCAGTGTGAAATGGAGGAGTCCAGCTCTCAGAAGTTGGTGTGGGACGGGGACGCCAAAGCGGTCCAGCAGTGTCTGACCGACATTTTTACCAGCGTCTTCACGACATGTGACATCCCAGAAAACGCCATTTTCGGGCCTTGTGTGTTGAGTCACACGTCGTTGTATGACAGCATCGCCTTTATAGCTCTGAAATCCACCGACAAACGCACAGCACCTTATATCTTCAGGGTGAGTGAATCTTTATTACTGTTTTGTGGATACTAATTGTAATTTAATGCAAGCCCTAGTATGTCCTCTAATTTTATCGATAAGCTCCCTATTTTATATTTACCAGTTATTAATTAATCAGACCTGTCAAAATGTCTTTATTGCATATCTTGCTGTTCAGTTCCAAATTAAGCCAATATTAATTACAAATGTTATATTACACATATCATAACTGAAGCAAGAAGCTGACATTTTGAGGAAAATCCCCATGCCTGAGCAGCAATGCTCAAAAGCCATGTTGGTAGATCTTTACAGTCTCACTTAAAATAAGATTGAGTCAAGGAACTGTTCCCTTTTTTCTTAATACTACAATAAGGACATAATCTGCCAAAGCATTGGAGATAATTTGATTTAATGAAAAGCCATTCATTTAAATAATTGTCAATAATAATGAAATCTGTCAATGTTTTTGACAATTCTTTCCTAAAGCGGTTTAAGTCATTATATTTATTTAAATAAACAAAGATACAAGTTGATATAAGATTTTTAGGATCAAATATTTGCCAGAAAATGTATTTGAGCTGAAGTAATAACTCAACGTGTTTGTATTTGTTGTAAAGGTGGACACATCGGCGGCCAACAGCACCTCGGAGGGCTTGATGTGGCTTCGGCTGGTCCAGTCGGCCAGGGACAAAGAGGAGCAGAACCTGGAGGCCTACGTGAAGAACGGCCAGCTCCTGTACCGCTCGCTCCGCCGGATTGAGAAGGACGAGGAGCTGCTGGTCTGGTACGGAAAAGACCTCATCGACCTGCTGCTGCTCAGCCCCAGCAGTGTCCCCACCAAGAGCAAAGGTGAGAAAACTGATACCATATCATCAACATCCATGATCACTGTTTCAACCAACACAATGAAATCATTGGTTCTCTATGGTCTTTCTTTTGTGCAATCTAACAACACAAAACACCTTTGCAAGATAGCTTCAGGATGATCGCTTTTCGTCAGAACTCATTTCCAAATCTTTTCTTTGCAGGTTCCTCGCACTATTCATGCCCGGACTGCAGCCAGCGATTCCAGTTTGAGTTCCCGTTCTTGGCCCATCTCCGGTTCCGTTGCACCAAAAGATTGCAGAGCATCACGGGGGCCGAAGAGGAGCCAAGCAAAGAGAGCACAGAGCGACCAAACACATCTCCGAACAGGACCAGCCCAACGCTGGGCCGTTCCGAGGGCTTCAGCAGCCCCCAGGACAGCAGCAAACCCTCCACAGACTTTCATAACCTGGCCAGGGATCTAGAGAACAACCGGACCAGCCCTCCGAGCGACAAGGAGGCCGAGATCTGCAGCGAGAGCTCGGGGAAGAGGAAGTTCTCGGAAATAGATGACAGGGAGAGCCGAGGGCCCAGCCTTTTACAGTCCAAGTCTAAAGATGAGCTTGCCACATCTGCACAAAACTACAGAGGGGCGTACGGCCTAGAGGAGAACCGCAAGTCCTACTCCCCGCCTGGTTCCACTGAACTCGGTAAGGGCAAGCGCAGCGCCTTCACTGAGGTCAAGAAGTCTCCACCGAACCTCAAACACCACAGCGGCAACAAAAACCTCCAGAGCTCCAACTCTGAAAACAAAGATGGTAGTCGTCCTAGCAGCAATCCATCAGAGAAGCACCTCAACATCAGGCAGGTGCTGTCCGAGACCCAGCCGCCCCAAACCTCACACATGGGCAGCGCTTTTACCTCTGTTACCCAGCAAGGAGGAAGTGGTGGCGAGAGGAAGAGCGCCTTCAGCCAGCCGTCTCGCTTCTCCCAGATCTCGCCGCTGGTTATGCCGACTAAACTGCTGGACTGCCACCCAGCGGTGGGCGACACCATCTCCTCCAGCAGACTCTACCAGGCGGACCACCTTGCCGCCAAACTACGGAGCGCAGAACTGGGCGCCAACTGCCCCGTGCCAAGCATGGCCAAGCAGAACCCCTTTGTCTACGCCACCACCTTCTGGCCCAAGAACTCCGGGGCTATTCAGCTCCAGATGCCCTCGGCTCTCACCCTCCTGCCGCCTTCCTTCACCTCCCTCTGTCTGCCGGCGCAGAACTGGTGCGCCAAGTGCAACGCGTCCTTCCGTATGACCTCGGACTTGGTTTACCACATGCGATCCCACCACAAAAAGGAATTTGCCATGGAGCCTATGGTCAAGCGTCGACGCGAGGAGAAACTCAAGTGCCCCATTTGCAATGAGTCCTTCCGGGAACGGCATCACCTGTCACGTCACATGACCTCCCATAACTGACTTTTAAAGACTAGAAAGGGAGGGACTTTTTTCTAACAAGGAGAGACTGTGACCCTGCCTGGATTTAAGCACTCCGACTGGAGAAAACCCTGTTAAAAAAACAAAAACACCCCTTGCACTCGTTTTCACTTTGGACTATGATCTTCTAATTCCTGTTCGGTCTGTTTACTTTTCCTCCCATGTACAAAATGTCATGTTTTGGGTGTATGCAAATGCATTTTGACTTTGAAAAGTGATCTATTTATGAAGCACTTGAACGTTTGGGAATAAGGGAAGATTTACATATGTGTAAATGTACAGTAAGTTGTATTTTATATCATATAATGCAAATATAGAAGAAGAGACGAAACACAAACGTAGTCACATGTCATGGTTTACAGAGCAGCACGTTTTTTCATGTCTACGAAGAATATGGACACAAATTGGGATATTATGTCAGACTATATTTCAGAGTGCATGTAATATTAAATAATATTGATTTAAGATGCAGTCTATACATGAACATGTAAATAACTGGTTTTATTTGAAATACAAAGTGTAATATTTTGTGTCAGTGGGGAATAGTTTCAGTGTTTCTTCCTTTTACGGGAATTTACTACTTGATAGTTTATCTAATCACGTTGAATGCATTGACAATAAAATAGCTTTATTTTCAACTATGACCTTGGATTGTTTATTTTAAACTGCAACTGATGAATATGATCTCTTGACTATTGACAGCTCTGGTTTCTCATTTTGCATTTTTAAAGCAAAAGTGACAAAACAGTGTTATATATATATCTGAAATATGCATGAAGCCCAAATGTCACCTCATTTAAAGTCATTTTTTAAATGTTGAAACATATTGCATTTCATTATTGCCAACCTTCAATATTAGGCATATACAACTCTGTTTGTACAGTCCAAATACAAATAATGAAAACTAGTGCTACCTGAATTAATGCTAAATATGGTTAATGTTTATGTTCATCTCTATTTAAACTACAAAACAATAGCTGGCCCATTTTATCAACTTATCGCATAATAATTATAATACTATATTATGTTTCCTTTACTGCTTCATATTATTATTCATATTATTATTATGATTACGTACGCCTTCAATACACGTGGATCCATGAATCCCTATGACGTGTTCCCCTGAGAGCCGAGGTCTCGTCAATGGGTTGCAATAAGACTGTTATGAATATTAACGATAACATTCCGATACCTGCAAATGTGTCTTTTATGCATTCATTTTAAAAATACAGAATAGGGGAAAGTACAAAAATGAAAGATTTCACATTAAAACATTTTATATGACGAAAGAAGTTTAGCTATATCACCTCGGTGTGCAGTTTCTATATGTCAAAGAAGAAAATAAACGCGAAATGTTTGTCTTTTGAACAGAATGCATTACAAGCCAGTTTACTTTACACAATAAAAACATTCTGTAGTTGGGATGTATTGATGGCTTTAGCATTATATGCAATCGATTACCCATGCAGAAATAGCATTGCAGACCGGAAGATGCATGTGGAGTGCACACAGAGGCCAGGATTTAAAATATATACATACAGTTTAATTTTCCAAAAAATAACAAATGCTTTTTTCACGTGTTCGGACCAGGGGGTCACAGGTTCAAACCCCACTGCAGTCAGCATGTCGTTGTGTCCCTGGGCAAGACACTTCACCCCAAAGTGCTCCTGTGGGGATTGTCCACAGTATTGAGTATGTAAGTCGCTTTGGATAAAAGCTTCTAACAAGTGACATGTAATGTAAAAATAGAGGTGTGATCAAATATATAAATATCAATAACCTACCAGCCGTATTTGACCTTTAAATGTATAATATTTCACGTCAAATAAGACAGAGAACTGTTATATAATAATGTCAAATAAACACTTGACGATGTCTGGACCAAAAACAATCATTCTCGCTAATATAAATGAATTTGAAGAAAAATAGCAAAGAGAAAATAAACAATACAACCGGAGAGCAGAAACGAGATGTGTAAAATAGCTCAACAGCGCCATCCAGTGGTCACCATGTTAACTACACGGATATCAGTTGGTTAGTTAGAAATACTGTATTCTATCATTTGGCCTCTTTTTAAAGACAATTTAAATTAACCTTGACGCTCTTACTTTGAAATTAATTATACTGTTTAAATGTTATTGTTAAATAAGATATGGACCAGAGGGGGGAGAAGTACTCAGATCATGTACTTAAGTAAAAGTAGAAGTACCAGAGTGTACTCTGTTACAAGTAAAAAGTCCTGCATTCAAAATGTTACTCAAGTAAAAGTACAAAAGGATTTGCATCAACATATACTTAATGTACCAAAAGAAAAAGTAATCATTATGCAGATGGTGCCCTTCCAAATCTGTTAACTAAAGGTCGTCGTCATCATCATCATCATCATCATCATCATCATCATCATCATCATCATCATCATCATCATCATCATCATCATCATCATCATCATCATCATCATCATCATCATCATCATCATCATCATCATCATGTAGACATTGCCATTGATTATGTTGAACTTTAAGACATTTAAGATTATGTTCAACAGCCGCAGAGACAGAAATCGACATTTTCATGAAAATATTTATAAATCATGGATATAGCCTAAATAGGCTATTTGCATTTGAAATTACGCTTCAAAGTTTTAAACTGTTGTGAAAACATACTGGAATCACTTTACTTTATAAGAAACCTTTTGATTGCATCACATAGAATATATGTTTGGTTCAAATCAAACACATCATTAAATAATCTCAAAATGGTACTCAGGAATTGTAAGGTTCCCTTCATTAATAAAGGATAAATAACTTTATATAAATCGCAATTGATCTGATAATCCTTGTTTATGTACTGTATCTCACGCTCTATTTCTTTCTTGATAGCGAGGAAAACAGCTTGTTGAAGTCACTCTTGTGAGGTTATTCACGACTGTCCTAAAAATGGAAACTAACCAACTTGTTGTGTTTTTTGTGATTCTCAATACCTCCCAAAGTGGTCCATCCCTACCTAAACATATTGGTTCTGGGTGGCATGAATAATGTCAACCAAGTCGAAATGAAAAAACAAATGCTAAATCCAATCTAATACTGTAATACTGATCATCAATACCTAAAGTAACCAGGCCGTTAAAGGTCAAAATCATATTTGTACTAGATGTTTTAAGTTATAAGTGAACTAATAGGGTCAGTTCCCAGAAAATGTCAACATTTCCTATTATGTCCACAGAGATGTCTGCTTTCAAATAAATATAACACAGGTGAATTACATTTAGTATGAAGCGTGCATAGTTTTTAAACAAGTTAAAAATGTTCCTTTCCAAAAGTTGAGAAGAGAATGAAACATATTGCTGTTGCTGTATACTGGTGCTCTAAATATGTCCTGCAGACTGAGATATTCTACATCATGCAGCTTACAAACAATTAAAAATAATTTAAACTGATGGCCACACCATGAACCTACTGTATAGGAGTTTGAACATGAAGATGAACATTGAGTGTATCATTGGGAATAGTCAAACAATAGTTATAGGAACAAGATTGAGATAATGGGATACTTAGCTTCTATAATAAATGATGTCTTCTTAGGGGAAAAAAACCCATTCCAAACACAAATGTAGGTTTTACATTCAAGAACTTTGTCTATTTGCTGATTTATCTCAAATTCAACAAAAATAATTACTTGTATAACAAAAAGGAAGTTCTCAATTTTTCTTTCAACGTATTTTCCTATAGCGTTTAATAAAATTCTATACATTTTATTATTATAAAATGGAGTGACTGGATCCTTGAACCGCTGAAACTCGAAGAACCAGAAGGAAGCCAGATGAAGGCAATGCTGCAGGAGCTGGATGCAAAACAGCAATGAGGAAAAACAGTCAACAACAATTCTATACATGTTATTATTATTTTAATGTCTATGTCATAGACATTAAAAAAAAGATTTGTATTTATTTTTAAAACCAGAAATCGTATCTTTAGTAAAACATACACACACCAAACATTCTAGTTTCATTCTTTCTGATATTCTGAGGGTTTAAACAGAGGGGTTTGCAAATATAATTCCCACCCTGATTTATATATTAAATGTTATTCCTGGGAAAATGTATTTATTAATGAGAGATGTTCATCCCTCTGTAGAAACTGCACTGTGAATTGTCAACAAAGTGAAACAAAAAGTGTTTCCACTGTTCAGATTTCTGTCCGAGAAATGTAGTCAAACATTTTATACATAACTGTTTAGAAAAAAAAGAATTGTTTTGTGGTATGATATCATCTGGTTAATGGTGTTATCCTATTTAAAAGAAAACTTTTGAAAATGGTGATTTACAGCCAGGAAAAATGCTTCTGTAAATAGTTGATGCTACCACTTTGCAACTCTCACTGTGGGTGAAATATATGCTTTTGAATTTTTTGTGAAAAAATTGCTTGAAATTGATCTGTGTCACCCGGGACCAAAACATTTTTTACAACTGGAACACATTGAGCTGCAGTGAGACATGCTAGTAGCAGATAGAAACACATAAAGAGTGGAGTGGATACAGCACGGCGGCATGTTGCTCATAATGATGGATTACAGCAGCAGTGCATATGTCTGCACGTTACACCTCATCTCACATCAACACACACCTCCTATGACAGCAATCCCAAACGGGTCAATCTCACCACCAAGGCATGTGATCGACGAGACACACACACTCCAGTGATATTTAGTGCCCTCGTGCTTTGGGGCTTGTGTCATCGTCCCTTTTGTGCCCCAACTTCCCCCCTGAGACATTTGTCACTGCATCACTCAGCGCGGGGCGGCGTGGGACAGTTTATATCTCTGCTAAGCTGGCACTTCCAGTTGGCCCTCGGCCCCACTCACACTACATTTTTACATTTTAGGCATTCAGCTGACGTTGCTATCCGCAGCCAAGTGAGCAGGAAAGTGAGCAAGCAGGTAGAAACCTCACACGGATTCTTAAGATCACTCTAACGATTGCTGGATCTGCACCAGTGTCCTCTGTTTTTTACAATAAAGGCTGAGAATTGTTGCATGGTAGGATTAATAAGAACTTGGTTTAGTGTACTGAGACCATAAAGTTGGAATTATTGTTCTGTGTTAATGATCACATGATGAGTTTCTAGGCAACGTGCAACGGGAAAATGTAGGTGCAACGGGAGAGTTAATTAAGCTCACAAATGATGAAATAAATACAAACTCTTTCAACTACCCCTAAAGCCTATGCTTACCTTCCTCCTGTTACTATAGAAAAACCAACAAAACAAATGTCTGAGTCCATCTACAGTCAAATTTGAGGTCCGACTAGTGCTCTTTTAATTGATTCAAGTTGATGCGCCATTGTTGTCTGCAATGTTTCGCTAACTGGATAACTGGATCTGTAACCAGCTGAGCACTTGAAGAACCAGAAGGAAGACAGATGAAGGCAATGTCTCAGCAGCTGGAAGCAAAACAGCAATGAGGGAAAACAGAAAACAAAAAGGAAGAGGAGAAACCAAACAGGTGGTCGAGGGACAGAAGGCGAGGCTTTTAATGGGATTACATAAAGAAAGGTTGGTCAAGAACAGGCAACGGGAGATCAGTCCGAGAAAGAGTGCAGGAGAGTCTTGCATGTAGGCAAAGAGCAATCAGGCAGTGTGTCCTCCCT